CAGAATGCTGATGAGCTGTAGGAGTTTATAGAATGATTGAAGTTTGAAATATCTAGGCTAATTCACAGTCCTCAATCAACCCTGAACCAGTTTCCATTCAGGAGCCACCCAAGATACTTAACAGTTTTTTTTTTTTTTTTTTTTTGGTTGTAACATCTGTGTAGATAGTATGAAAGCCATGGCCGAGTTCCCTGCAGTTTACCCAAAGAAGGAAAGCAAACTTCCAATTATAGCCATTGAATGGCAAATGCAATCAATTGGGCCTGTAGTGAAGAAGAATTTATTTAGACTGATAACTCTTTTGTAATTTTGCACTTCTGTTGAATCTTTCTGGTCAGGCCTGCAGCTAAATAGCAGATTACAGCACTGAACATTAGATGTAGGCTGAGTTAGCAGAAACTGCAGTGATCGTGATAGCAAAACATTAACCTCACAATAAGGAGCGTTTCCGTGTTTTATCACTGCGCAGCTTCGCGGATATTTAAAAAGCACGAGCATAAGCACAAACCCAAGAAATGCACACAAGGCAAAATATGTCGCACGGGATACAAGAGCTGTCGTATCATGATATCCTGATCTCCGGCAGCTGCCGCTGATTTCTGGATGATGTGAAACGAAATGTCTCGCGCGGTTATGGAAACTTCTCCCACACTTTGGAAGAAACCATTCTGCAATCTCTCACACATGTGAGGAGGGCACGCGGCGTCGCGAGGAAAGCCCATTTCACTTCGTCCCTCCCGCCCCCCTTCTCTCTCTCTCTCTCTCTCTCTCTCTCTCTCTCTCTCTCTCTCTCTCCCGCCTCTCGCTCTCTCTGGCTCCCGTAAGAGGCGAGCACAACATCAGCCCGCAACGCCAGCCCTCGGCCCCTGCAGCTGAGCTGAGCGCAGGCAAACTGCCGAGGCAGCGGTGAAGCATCCTCTCGGTACGTGACTCTTATTCTTCACCTGATTGCAATTAATGTTCGAGATTTTGCGTTTTCCCGTCCTCCGGAGATCGCTGTCAGATTGTATGGTTTAGCTACTGTAGGGAGTCCTATGTATTTCTTTCTTTTTCTTTTTCTTTTTTTTTTTTTTTTTTTGCTCGGCGTAGGCTATTCGGCAACGCAGGACAGGGAGCCGGAGTAAACACACGGGCAAACGCATCTGCAAACCGCTTATCATAACGCCGCTTAAACTTGCAGCCCTGCGGTACGGGGATACGGGAACATTAGAGCATTCGTCTTGTATTTAACGGGACTTATGTGCAGGACTCCGCAATATTTTTTGACTGCTACCGGTGTCAAGAAAATATGTAAATTCAAATCAGGGATATGACTGGACAGAGGCTGTTTTTTGCTTATGAAAGAAAGACCGTTCACAAATTTATTTTCAAATTAATCGTCGTGGAAGCTTATAGATTTACTGATTGGTGCTGTACCTGCAGTATGCTACTGCGTATTACACGTTGTTCTTTTTTTCTAAAAGGGATTGATGCCTTTAAACAGAATCTTATGGGCCGGTTTTACAGCCTATATGAAGTTCATAACCTTATCTGCAGTACATGGCAACGGGCCGTGCATCTGCATGTTTCTTTTATAGTGCGTTTATGTCACGTACTGCAGCCTACATTTGGCAGATGCGCTACCTTGCCTGCATGTGTGCATCTGGGCATGTATTGATGTTATAGCTGTTTATGGGCTACTGCAGTATTTTGCATAAGCCAACCGGTAATTTAAATTCCGAATACCGATAGTGTGAGGTAAATTCCAGGGTATTTACGGAAGTTTTGCGGAGAAACACGGTTAAGGAAGAAGGTCTTCTAAATGAGAACGTTAATGCAAAGATTCCACCGTGAACGTTTTCGCCTAAAACTTGAAACAAAGTTCATCCGAAAGAGTTCGGCACTCGTTAGGCCGCAAACCATTTTCTGGGCGTCAGACTGAGTAGTAGTTTAGCGCATGGAAATGTGTTGTCCAAAATTGCTTTGATTGTGGTGATTAAGGCGTTTCTGGGGTAAGAAGGAAGCGTTGACGGTTTTGTCGCTACGCTCCATCATCCTGAACAGAACTGTGAGGTGGGGAGGTCAACCCCAGGGAGCTGGCTGTGTTCATCTGCCTCAGCATCAACCGGTACTCTGCAGTAAATCAGTTGTGTGTGTGTGTGTGTGTGTGTGTGTGTGTGTGTGTGTGTGTGTGTGTGTGTGTGTGTGTGTGTGTGTGCGTGTGCGTGTGTGTGTGTGCGTGCGCACGTGTGTGTGTGTGTGTGTGTGCGTGTGTGGATGTGGTGTGTGTGTGTGTGTGTGTGTGTGTGTGTGGTGTTTGTGTGCGCACGTGTGTATTCTCTTATGTGTATGCCCGTTTGTGTAGGTGATCATGCACGTCTGCATGTGCTTTGTGTATGCACGTGTGTCAACGTTTTTATGCGTACAGGTTTGCATGTGCATACATGCTTATCTGTGTTTGTGTGCTGATGTATGTCTGTATGCACAGTGAGCATCTGTGTGTGCGCCCACGTGCATGCTGGTACCATATCTGTATCCATATGTGTGTCTAAGTGTGTGTATTCATATGTTTGTGTGCTTGTGTGTATGCACATGTTTGTGTGTGCTTGTGCATGTATGCACGTTTGTTTGTGCTTGCGTGTGTATGCACATGTTTGTGTGTGCTTGCGTGTGTATGCACATGTTTGCGTGTGCTTTTGTGTGTATGCACGTTTGTGTGTGCTTGTGTGTGTATGCACATGTTTGTGTGTGCCTCTGTGTGTATGCACATGTTTGCGTGTGCTTTTGTGTGTATGCATGTTTGTGTGTGTGTGCGCATATTTGCGTGTACTTAGGTGTGTATGCACATGTTTGTGTGTACTTATGTGTGTATGCACATGGTTGTGTGCTCGTGTGTGTATGCACATGTTTGTGTTTGCTTGTGTGTGTATGCATATGTTTGTGTGGGCTTGTGTGTATGCTCATGTTTGTCTATGCTCGTGTGCATATACACGTGTTTGTGTGTGCATGCTGGTAAGTATATGCAGGTGTGTGTGTCTGTGATTGTGTGCACACCTTTGTGTGTGTGGATGTGTGCATGTGTGAGCGTGTGCATGCTGGTAATTGTATAGAGATGTTTGTGTCTGTGAGTGTTTGTGCATTTGTACATGCTGGTATGTGTATCCACGTGTGTATGTGTGTTTGTGTGTGAATACACAAGTGTGTATTTGTGTGTGTGTACAAGACTATTCAAAAAATAAAGACAGAAACTCTCATTAGTGGTGACCTTGCTGGGACAGGGAATTTTTAAGTTGAACAAGCTTAATGTTTCCATTTGATTCTCAAAATGTGTTAGTCTCTGTTGTGCTCAGTTACTTCACCTGACTGAAGCATGCTTATCGATGACTGTCAACTTCCTCTGACTACATCCGATCAGTTTACTGGATTTTCCTGGTAGCAAGTTACTCTGGCCCCATCTTCACTGAATCTGCCTGGGTTTAGGGTAGAGCTGGCAGGATTTGGCCTGGGGATGGTCGTGCACCTGTATTATTTCTGAACACACCATCAAATTTGATTTCTGAATTGTCTGCTTTCCTAAACAAGTAGTATGAATAGGTCCACCAGTCCTGTTTGTGATAGTCTCCCTTCCCATAGTTTTCAAAGTGAAAACCTAGATAATGATAGATCTCTGGCTCAAAGTGTTCAATGAGGTGATCTTTGTTAGGTTTAGAAGGAAACTCTGCAGAACAGTAGATCTCCAGGAGCAGTGTTGTGCAGGCCTGCTTTAGTTGTCGAATAAGGTGTGCATCGTTAGTGTTGGTGTGGAAAACTATGTCACAGTGCATCTCCAGGAGCAGGGTGGGGGAGCCTTGTTCTACCTTCCAGAACAAAAACTAAACATGTGATTTCTGGATGAAAAGTGATGAGATCATTCCCTGTCCTGTTGTATATTTTAGGAGCATCACTGATATGTGCTGTTAAGCAGGCTTGACCCCCATCAGATGGTCTTCAAAGGCCAACAAGGCTTCTTGAGAGGAAGATAATCATTTCAGTCATTTAAACCGGAAACAGAAATTTTGTTTTGCGTTTATCTTTAATTACCTTTTCAACTTGAAATGCACATTAACTTCTGCTTGGCAAGGCCACTATACGTCTTTTAAAGAATGTGATAATATGTGGTCTGGTCCAGAAGCTGCACTCAGAATTTTTCACACAAGTTTGTGGGGCTTTGCGTCGATGTCTGTCTCTGTTCAGGGCTCAGGGACCTTGTTATAAAGAATCAATACAGCAAGAAAATTTTATCTATGATATTTGATGTATCAACAACTTTTCAAATCAATTTTGCACCTTTGCCTGCGAATTGTGCATGGCTAAGCTGCGAGCTGCTAAACTCTGAACCCAGCGCTGAATTTGGCAGCATCCAAGAGAGGATGAAAATCAGATCGAGCTGTGGATGCAGATTCTATATAATACAAAAGACAAGCTTCTCAGCATTATTCTGTCCTGTAAACCTGGGATTTGCCCGTTGACCGGGACACAAAAGGTATACCATTGGCCACTACCCCACACTTGCATTATCTACATTATAGACTAAAATTATTTAGCGGGAAATTTTATCCAAGGTAACAAAAGCTTACAATTGTTGATAGTTAAGAGATGATGAGCTGGGGCTTATCTCCCCTTGAGCAATGTAGGATCAAGGGCCTTGTTCAGTCGCCCAAGAGCAACATTGATCTTACTGTGGCTGCACTGGGACTTTAAACACTAACCCTCCAGGTCCTAGACTAAGAACACGTTAGCCGCGAGGTTGTCCAAGCCCTTTTCTTTTCTTGTACCTGTTACTTTAGTTTTGAAGCTATGGTAGATCTCTGAATAAATCACTGTTATGCACATTCTACCTTTAGTTTACTCCATGCCAGCCACCTGAGGATGGTTCCTCTGCTATAAGCCATTTTCTTCCTGAGATTTCTTTCATATGAGGGCTTCTTTACTTTGCAGGTTTATATATTTAGCGTTTATACCTATTTTTTGCCCTTTTCGTTGGCTCAGTAGCACAGTGGTTAGCGTTTTTGCCTCACTGTAAGGAGGTTCCAGGTTCCAGTCCAGGCCAGCCAAGATCATTCTCTGTGGAGTTTGCATGTTCTCCCTGTTTATGCATGGATACTCCAGTTCCCTCCACGCTCAAAGACATGCTCTATAGGAACACTCCAACCAGTGTCCCTGACCAAGGCTCTGGCTTTAGAAAGACATGCTCTATAGGAACACTCCTACCAGTGTCCCTGACCAAGACTCTGGCTTTAGAGAGACATGCTCTATAGGAACACTCCAATCAGTGTCCCTGACCAAGGCTCTGGCTTTAGAAAGACATGCTCTATAGGAACACTCCTACCAGTGTCCCTGACCAAGACTCTGGCTTTAGAAAGACATGCTCTATAGGAACACTCCAACCAGTGTCCCTGACCAAGGCTCTGGCTTTAGAAAGACATGCTCTATAGGAACACTCCTACCAGTGTCCCTGACCAAGACTCTGGCTTTAGAAAGACATGCTCTATAGGAACACTCCAATCAGTGTCCCTGACCAAGGCTCTGGCTTTAGAAAGACATGCTCTATAGGAACATTCCTACCAGTGTCCCTGACCAAGGCTCTGGCTTTAGAAAGACATGCTCTATGGGAGCACTCCTACCAGTGTCCCTGACCAAGGCTCTGGCTTTAGAAAGACATGCTCTATAGCAGTGGTTCCCAAACTCGGTCCTGGGGACCCACTGTGTACGCAGGTTTTTGTGTCAACCACAGCTCCAATCTTAGAATGCTAATGAGTTGCTCATTGCTCTTGATTGCACTATTCTTGTTCACGCTGATTATTTATCCTTTTAAACCACATGTCAAAAATGGCCATGATGAAAATCATTTCATAGTGTGCTAAATTGGAAATTACTTCTCTAACATAAAAAAATGGAAATTTGCAACTGATGACATGAATCTATAAATGGGCTTCTAGTAGATAAAATTGTGGACCCAAGGTCATTAAAGCTAACAATTATTAGGCAATTAAGAATTCAAAGACAAAGCAAACGATGAGTCAAACCTGTTAAATGTCACTTGATTGGTTTCAGGAAAGAACCTGAGCACCTGCATTCAGAACCCTAATCACCAGATTACTGACTGATTGCAGTCTTGCATTTGATCACATGAAACATACTGCCACCTTTTGATTGTTGTGCTTCGTGGAATACATCAAAATAAAAAAATATGAATGTTGGGCTTTGAAATTTCATGGAATGCGTAGCCATTTCTGTCATAATGTGGTTTAAGGGGGTAAAATGTCCCTCGTATCTGACAAGCAACTGCTAATTAAAAAATGAACAGCTTGTTAAAACTCTGGGATCGTAATTGTGGTTGGAGCAAAAACCGACATACGCAGTGGGTCCCCAGGACCGACTTTGGGAACCACTGCTCTATAGGAACACTCCTACCAGTGTCCCTGACCAAGGCTCTGGCTTTAGAAAGACATGCTCTATAGGAACACTCCTACCAGTGTCCCTGACCAAGATTCTGGCTTTAGAAAGACATGCTCTATAGGCACACTCCTACCAATGTCCCTGACCAAGGCTCTGGCTTTAGAAAGACATGCGCATCTGGAGTATTGTGTACAGTTCTGGGGATTATACTTTAAGAAAGATATAGAGGCTCTAGAAAAAGCTCAGAGAAGAGTCACTAAGCTAATTCCGGGTATAAAAGATGAAAGCTATGAGAAGAGGCTGAAGATCCTTAATCTCTTTAGTCTTAGGAAAAGGAGACTCAGGGGTGATCTGATTGAGGTCTTTAAATATGTTAAAGGGATTAACAAAGTGAATTATGTAGGATTCCTTCGGCCAAGTTCTGTAAGTAGAACTCGGGGTCATAAATGGAAGTTGACCAAGGGTAAATTTAGCACTGATATTAGGAAATATTTTTTCACCCAAAGAGTAATTTTGATGTGGAACAGCTTGCCTAACCATATTGTTGAGGCAGAAACCTTGGCAATATTCAAGAGCAGGCTTGACTTAAAGCTAGATACCATTGAGACATTGAGTATCTGAAGTGATATAATCACAATTGTTAAAAGAAACTGGTGAGCCTAGTTGGGCTGAACGGCCTGTTCTCGCCACTCATGTTATGTTATGCTCTATAGGAACACTCCTACCAGTGTCCCTGACCAAGGCTCTGGCTTTAGAAAGACATTGTGAGGATTACGCCAGGAACCAGAAGCGAGAACCAGTGAATGCAAAAATGGAGGCTTTATTTCTGAAGGGGGGGAACCCCCCAACAGAGCAGGCAACGGTACAATGTCCACAATCCAAAAATCAGAATCCAAAGGGCGAAATCCAGAATCGTAAACAGGGCACCAATAACAAAAATCGTAGTCAGACAAAAGAGGTTCGATACACTGAGAATGTGGCAAAGTACAGGGAATAGGCAAAAATCGAGGACAGTCCAGTCAGAAAGGTAATCACTATGAAAACAAGGCGAGAGAAGCGTGGCAAAAGGAGAACGTTCTGACAAAGAACTGCTGTGAGAAGACTCCTAATATACATTCATGGGAAGTCACATGCTTAACAAGACACAAGTGCAAGAGGTCAGACTGATTACAAAGGAGGGAACATGAGGGAGAACCTAATCACATGAAATAGGCAACTGCCAAAACGCGGACAGGGATCACGAGACAATCCTATGACAAAACATACAGCTCCGGTTAGGGAGTTCTAACGTGCACAGATAATGAGAGGCAGGACAGAGTGGAGCAGGTGCGGAGGATCCGCTGAATTGCAGCAAAGACTATGTGGAGGCAAGAGGCAGAGACTAGAATAGGGCGAGTGCTGAGAGCTAGTTAATCAATTAGTAAGTGCAGCTATACAATCCCTGGTGCTCGTTAGTAAGTTAGTATTATATACACAATGTTAGTCTTGGTTAGTATTTTAACAAAATAATAAACTGTTAGTATGGGTTAGTAAAATAGTAAAGTAAGGTGAAGGAAGCAAACGAGACTAGAAGGAATGGTGGAAACCCAGAAACCATTAAATCACCTAAGCATGTGACACGCAGGACTGGGGAATGAGCTGTAGTAACAAAAGACCAGACAGGGGAGACAAAGTGCAAAGAAGGGCATGGTGGAAAACATGAACCGGACTATACAGAAATATGGGTAATGGCAAAACATGGCAGAAAGAAAACATGGCATGGAACAAACTAAACAGAACATGGCAAAACAGAACAGACATGGCAAACTGACAGAATCATAACAGACATACTCTATAGGAACACTCCTACCAGTGTCCCTGACCAAGGCTCTGGCTTTAGAAAGACATGCTCTATAGGAACACTCCTACCAGTGTCCCTGACAAAGGCTCTGGCTTTAGAAAGACATGCTCTATAGGAACACTCCTACCAGTGTCCCTGACCAAGGCTCTGGCTTTAGAAAGACATGCTCTATCGAAACACTCCTACCATTGTCTCTGACCGAGGCTCTGGCTTTAGAAAGACATGCTCTATAGGAACACTCCTACCAATGTCCCTGACCAAGGCTCTGGCTTTAGAAAGACATGCTCTATAGGAACACTCCTACCTGTGTCCCTGACCAAGACTCTGGCTTTAGAAAGACATGCTCCATAGGAACACTCCTACTCGTGTCCCTGACCAAGACTCTGGCTTTCGAAAGACATGCTCTATAGGAACACTCCTACCAGTGTCCCTGACCAAGGCTCTGGCTTTAGAAAGACATGCTCTATAGGAACACTCCTACCAGTGTCCCTGATAAAGGCTCTGGCTTTAGAAAGACATGCTCTATAGGAACACTGCTACCAGTGTCCCTGACCAAGGATCTGGCTTTAGAAAGACGTGCTCTATAGGAACACTCCTACCAGTGTCCCTGATCAAGGCTCTGGCTTTAGAAAGACATGCTCTATAGGAACACTCCTACCAGTGTCCCTGACCAAGGCTCTGGCTTTAGAAAGACATGCTCTATAGGAACACTCCTACCAGTGTCCCTGACCAAGGCTCTGGCTTTAGAAAGACATGCTCTATAGGAACACTCCTACCAGTGACCCTGACCAAGGCTCTGGCTTTAGAAAGACATGCTCTATAGGAACACTCCTACCAGTGTCCCTGACCAAGGCTCTGGCTTTAGAAAGACATGCTCTATAGGAACACTCCTACCAGTGTCCCTGACCAAGGCTCTGGCTTTGGAAAGACATACTCTATAGGAACACTCCTACCAGTGTCCCTGACCAAGGCTCTGGCTTTAGAAAGACATGCTCTATAGGAGCACTCCTACCAGTGTCCCTGACCAAGGCTCTGGCTTTAGAAAGACATGTTGTATAGGAACACTCCTACCAGTGTTCCTGACCAAGGCTCTGGCTTTAGAAAGACATGCTGTCTAGGAACACTCCTACCAGTGTCCCAAACCTGGCTCTGGCTTTTAGGGCTGGAATTGGTCCCCAGACAGTGTACTGTGGCTGTCCACAGTTCCTACGTTGCTGGGATGGGCTAAATATGGAGGACAAATTACCCCACAGTGTTCAATAAAGTATATCTATCTTGGCCTCCTGTTATTCTGTACTGCTAATGTCATTCCTCTGTTTCCATACATCAGTTGGATTTCCTAATGGCAGCTATAAATCAGAAAATACTATAGGGCTCCAGTTAAGCCGACTAATCTGGACTTCCAGTGCTAGTTTTCCATGCTAGTGTCTGCAGTTTTCACTCCAATCCTGGAGGGACACAGTGTCTGCAGTTTTAACTCCAATCCTGGAGGGACACAGTGTCTGCAGTTTTAACTCCAGTCCAGGAGGGACACAGTGTCAGCAGGTTTAACTCCAGTCCTGGAGGGCCACTGTGTCTGCAGGTTTAACTCCAATCCTGGAGGGACACAGTGTCTGCAGTTTTAACTCCAATCCTGGAGGGACACAGTGTCTGCAGTTTTAACTCCAATCTTGGAGGGACACAGTGTCTGCAGGTTTGACTCCAGTCCTGGAGGGACACAGTGTCTGCAGGTTTAACTCCAATCCTGGAGGGACACAGTGTCTGCAGGTTTGACTCCAATCCTGGAGGGACACAGTGTCTGCAGGTTTAACTCCA